ACGTATGGCACATAACTGATTGAATCTCAGGCTGAATTTCTTGGATGAGGAGTTATTATTTCCAGTATTTGCATTCAGTACTCATCGTTGCTTGTTTTTATCATACAGTGTAACCCGGATATAAGGGAGTTGTCGGGACCGGAGAAGAAGTCGCTTATATCCGGGTTTCTCTTATATCCGGGTTTGGTCTATTTTGTTTTGGTAACACAGGCTCTAATTTGGGACCAGAGAAAATCTCTCTTATATCCGGGTTTCTCTTATATCCGGGTCTCTTATATCCGGGTTTCACTGTATTTTTTTTTTCAGCTGATGTACCCTCTGGCTGCCTTTAGGTATCTGTCGACATCTGGAAAGAAGACGTAAAGTACGATATGGAAATCCGAAGGCGAATTTCGGATAGCGAAAGATGTCTTCCAAAAGCTGAGCAAAATAGTAACAGAAAAATATCACCAGAAACAAAAGAAAAAAGTACTGAACTGTTACTTTGTACCAGTTTTTAGTACCAAAGAGCTCCAATTATTATGAGTTTAACAGTAGAGTTAACGTACCACAATATTTCATTTCCAATTTCAATTATTTTATATTTATTTCTTTGGACATATTCTTCATGAGATTTATTTTTATCTGATGGTGCTGACATATCTATAAGGAGACAAGTGATTTGTTTGTACCACAATCTCTGTTCGATCTGCTTGTATGTAACACAAGTGATACACACTTAAGCGATCATGTATCTTTCGATACATGACTGATAATGCAGATTTTTTTTATATGGCAGTGAATGCTAGACAATCTCCTCACAGATGAAGAAAGTAGTAAAAGAAATGTAGTTCTACAGAAGCATGCTGAGAATACAATGGACCAAACGTGTGAGCAGCAACAAAGTTCTACAGAAAATAGCAGCAGAAATGACGTTTATAGTTAACATCTGGAGGCGATAGTTGGAAATTCTGGGTCACATAATGAGGAAAGAGGGATTCGATAATTTGAAAGAAAATGTCACCTTTCATCTCTTACTTGTTTTGTTTGTTGGTTTTTGTTTGTTTTTTTTTCTTTCTGTTGTGTCGGAAACCTACCACCCCTCTTGAAGATGAACTTGTCTGCGTCTGTGAACAAAGACTTTAAATAGTGGCATGTCAGTTGAGACAGATAGACCGAGAAGTTCTTAGCTGAGCTAGTTATTGACTACTCAGACGATTTCTGTACCTTTTTACCAACCTATTAAAACCCTTTTTATTGTTACGTGTTATTTGGCGTTTGTCTCTACTAACCCCAAATCAACATCATATCACTTTCCTTTCTTTCTTCAGCACTTTCTCTTTCCCTACCTTCAAAGTTGTTCATATCAAACAGTTTTCTTTCATTACTTTTATTTAGTAAATGAATGGGGGACAGTTTTGGAAGAGATGACAAAAAGACAAGAGCTATTAAGAGCTACAAAGGACAAGAAATTGTGGAGATTCATGATCACTAAGAAATAATGGAGATTCATGTTCACCACGAAATAATGGTAAGTGAATTCACTTCGTCGTTTGTTCGCCGTGTATAAGGAGTTCGATCTTAACTTCGTACGTCATGCTTATAATATTCTAATAAATTTAGCTATGCTTAGAAAAAAGATCAGAATATAAATTATTTATTAAAATACTTTATTTACATAATGTCTGGGGATTTTCGAACTGAACGCTTCATCTAATCTACGGGGGTATATTATTCTTGTTTCACGTTTATGGATATCTCGACTTGTTCTGTTTTACGTACCTCTGCTCCTAGTGAAATAGCGAGAACAAGACGAGATATCTCTTAACATTAACAACTGAACGGGAGCATGTATATAACAGTTTATAGACCATTCATACTGAGACAGACAAGCAGATCGAACAAAGATTATGGTAAAAAGACTACAAACAAATCACTTGTCTCCTTATAGATATGTCAGCACCATCAGATAAAAATAAATCTCATGAAGAATATGTCCAAAGAAATAAATATAAAATAATTGAAATTGGAAATGAAATAATGTGGTACATTAAATCTATTGTTAAACTCATAATAATTGGAGCTCTGGGGACAATCTAAAAAGGCATAAACAAAAACATTAACAATATCTTTTTTTTTTACAAAAAGATTAAAGAGAATTACATTGTCTGAGACTTTTTATCTCCTCAGTAGAGTATAATACATGTAAAGAAAATATATATACTTTAGATGTTAAACATCACTTAACATAAATATTTTTATACATAGAATGCATATATTTACTGCTTTTCTTTGCCCCAGGTCTCGAGTAATGATCCGTTAAGTGATTTTACTAAACAACAACAACAACAACAATAATAATAATAATAATAATAATTATGAACTATCAAAAAAAGAATATACACGCAGACATAACAAGGTAACTATATATGAGTACTGGAAGATATGCAAGAAGACCCAAATCGAAACCACTGAGAGATGGTATGATCACCAAACAGAGGTACCCAAAATAACGATGTAACTATCCTCAGGGATATGCTAATTCAGTTGACAGGGAAATGAATGCCAACCGACCTGATATTATCATAGAGGACGAGAAATTCAGGAAGTGTATGGCACTATTGACATTGTAGTACCATCTGAGAGAAACACTTAGAAATGATCGAGGAATTGGACAAATACAAGGAACTAGAGATCGAGATTAACAGGATGTTGGGAATGAAGACTGAGATTGTACCAAGAGTAACCGGAGCTCTGGGACTCGTGAGAAAAAGAATGGACAATTTTATTAATAGTGTCCCAGGTAACATCAACATATTGCTCGTATACTAAGTGCTATCAGTTAAATGACAATTCTTGTATAGGGTGTAAGGCCCATAGTTTGAACCCGGCTCTACAGGTTTCAAAGGACAATACAAAATTTACAGGATGTCATTTCTGTTCTTAGGTATGTGTTTGGGACCCGGAAAAAATAACTTAAAACAGAACTCAAAGGAATAATAATAATAATAATAATAATAATAAATATATTAAGAAACAAATAAAGAAAAGAATACTGAATTGTTATGTCATCTCAATCGTCACTTATGTCAGTGAATTCTAGAAATCTCTTCACAGATGAAGAAGAGACTTGAAGCAGCAGAAATATGGTCCTGCAGAAGGATACTGAGAATATCATGGAAAGAACATTTGAGCAATGAGAAAATGGAAACAAAAAGTCACTTATATTGAACACTAGGATGAGTCAGTTGAAAGGTTTGGGTCGAATAATGAGGAAAGTGGGCTTGGAAAATTTTATACTCACAGGACAGATTGAAGGCAAGAGTGACAGAAAAACAACGCATAACCTACCTAGATTGTCTGAGTAAATGGCGGAGCAAGGCTGACCAGAAATAACAAAAAGACAAACTTTTTATTAAGAGCTACAAAAGACAGGAAATTGTAGAAGGCCATGATCGTCTACGTCCTGGAGGGACATGTCACTTTGGCAAAGAAACTAGTAAGGCAAAGCAAACGAACACTGTCTGTTGATAACCGATATTTGTCTTTGTTATAAAACAGAGTATTAATCTGTAACCCTTGAGACAAAAACTTAATGAAATATGGCTTTTTTTCGTAGTCAAGTATATATCGAACTAAAGAGGTTTAATGTCCTTCCCCCCTTACCTTTTCCAGAATTCACAGACATCTTCAGTCTTCCTGTCACAGACACGTCCATTAGTTCTTCCATTCAATTCTCTTATCCTTTCCTTCAACCTACCCTGGGGCTGGCTCTTTTTATCTGCCACAGTGTCTATGCGACCGTGACTTTGTCTGTCTGTCTGACTGTCAGACTGTCTGTCTGCCTTGTTCGGATGGGAGAGCGAAATGCTAGCCAGAATGCTAGGCGGCCTGCTGGTCAACGTCTTGCAAAGCGAAAGGCTTTCTTAATCCGAATGTCCGGCGAAGAATGCGATTTACTGTCCAACCGTCCTTTTAGTTGTCTGGTTGGTCAGTTAGACTCTTGCTTAACTGGGTGGACAAGATACATTTGGATCGATATGAAACAGAGGAGGAGAAGGAGGAGGAGGCGGAAACGATTCTGAAAATGAAGAAAAAAACAAGATATGAAAAACGTACCACTAGTGCTACTACTACTACTACAATTATTAATATTGTTAATAAAGATATCTATATTTATTTATTCTGTCTAAATTGTATGAAAAATAAGTAAATAAAAGGATTTTGATATTAAAATTGAATTTCTGTGATAATTTGTCATTATTTAAATTCAGAATAATTTTAATGTCTTTGTTATTTTCACATCGTTTCGACCATTTCGACATTCTTTAGGTTTTTCGTCGATACAGGTAATAGTTCGAAATTAACCCTTTAATTGTTCTACGAGAATGTCTAGGGATACGTTATCTTTTATTTAATTATTTATTTATCGTATTGCTCAGTTAGTACTAGTCCAGTTTCCACTGTATTGAGTCTGTAATAAGCAGATTACTCATAGAACTCACAATTACTCTGCTACCAAATTAAAAAAAAAAAAACAACGATTAAATTTCCCCAAGGACCATTATTTCATTGGCAGGAGTAATTTCCTCCAGTTATTCATGACTCTGCATATCTCGTCTTAATTTTCAATGCCGCTCAGTCGTGTTGCCAGTATGTATGTGTTTAGATTATCCAGGGATTGAACTCACAATTACTATACCACTAAAATTACAAACTAACTCTTTCATCATCTAGGCTATTTTCTCAAGGGACAATCCAGAGACTACAACCTAATGCTGTTGCTGAGTGTTCGCTGTTAATGAGATACCTCAAGAAAAAAGGATTAGAATTTAACCAATTGAAAACTTTTGTTATCGTGAACCCTCGCTATGCATGTTTACAAGTGATCAAAAAAGCGCTATGTGGAACTAGTCATCGATTGGTTGTTGGCGTTGTGTTACAGACTCTACCAAGTAGAACAATATAAAGACAATATAAACGCAGTACACATGATATCAGAATTGAAAAGTTTTAAATTTTCAAAAAGTGGGAAAAAAAAGAAAGAATTTAAAAAGGAGATGAAAGTGTGGATAAAGAAAATCAAAGTAGAATGAATAAAGGAAAAAAAAGTAGAAAACTGAAAAAAAGAAAGAAAGGAAGGAAGGAGTTGGGTAAAATGGCGGTGAAATAACGTAATCATGGTAGAAATATGAAAAGAAAGGAAAACAGAAGCAAAGAAGAAAGAAAGAAAGAAAGAAAGAAAGAAAGAAAGAAAGAAAGAAAGAAAGAAAGAAAGAAAAAGAAAGAAAGATTAAAAAATAGAGATATAAAGTGTGGATAAAGAACATCAAAGTAGAAAGAATAAAAGAAAGCAAAGTATAAAACTGAAAGAAAGAAAGAAATAAAGAAGAAGAAGAAAAAAGAAAGAAAGAAAGGAGTTGGTTAAAATGGCGGTGAAATCACATAATCGTGGTAGAAATATGAAAAGAAAGAAAGAAAGAATTTAAAAAAGAGATATAAAGTGTGGATAAAGAAAATCAAAGTAGAAAGAATAAAAGCAAAGTATAAAACTGAAAGGAAGGAAGGAAGGAAGGAAGTAATAGGTTAAAATGGCGGATGAAATCGCAGATAACGTAAGTTGAGGTATAAATATGAAAAGAAAGCAAAACATAAAGAAAGAAAAAAAAGGAAAGAAAGAATGTAAAAAATGGAGAAGAAGGTGTATAGAAAATAAAAATAGAAATTAAAAAGGAAAGAAATTAGGAAACTAAAAGAAAGAAAAAAAGGATAAAATGTAAAAGCAGAGATCAATCTGTGGATAAAGAAAATCGGAGTAGAACGATGAAAATAAAGAAAAATAGAAAGAACGAAAGAAAAAAAGAAAGAAAGGAGAAAGTATATACGTAATTAGTTAAAAAGGCATATGAAAATGCGTATAATATTTCTATATAGACTGGATTTCCATTGAGTAATGTTGAACAAAAACACCTTGGGAACTATAATTTCGGCTGTGAATTGGATCCTCAATTGGTGCCTCAAAGGGGAGATTTGTGACGTATTTAGACATGCTTAGTAAATGTTTCCCTTATCTACAATAAATATGGTACCATTTTATTTAATTCAGGCGGTTTCTTTTGCAAAGATGGACGGATGTTCGAATTTGGTGTGCAGATTTTCTTTAATACGTCTTCTTGTCTGTGTCGACCGGTAGACGAAATAAATATTATTTTGAATTAAACGGAGCGTCTACTCAAATAGGCCTATCTTAAAATAACGTTTAAAGTAATATAAATTGTATGCGAACTGGTATATCACCATAATAAAAATCGTCTTGTTGTAAAGAATTTTTAAGCATTTTATTGCCATACCCCGTCAGGACGTAGCCGATTTTCAACAGATTTATTTTAGTATTTGCAAATGACTTGCGGGTCGTGTGATGATTAGCAACCCTGAAAGTTAAATTGGCGAACCAAGTTCGAAATCCAGTCGAGTTCGTTAGACGTACAGATTCGTATAAATAATCCCGTGGGAGGTGTCAATGTGTTATTTCCCCCCAGGCATCTATGGGATAAATAACTGAATAGACTGAGTTGTCTCATGAAAACTCCGAATTACAAATCGTGGAGAAGGCCCCTCCTTTACAAAGAAATCATGAAAAACTCACAGATAATAAACAAATGTAAATCTTTGGAGCATCCCCTGAAAAGATATGAGATCACAAATTTAGAGGTTTCGCGTTTTATTCTTCCAGGTTAAAATTCTAGAGAGTCTAATTGACGCTGTTTTTTAATTTTTGTGTTAGAAATAGATGCTTGCCTTTTCCAAGGGCATTAGTGTGAAGTCTATGCTAAAGGTAAAAGTGTAACATTAATTAATTAGATAATTTATTTATTTTTAAATTCACTCCAAACAAGATGATAAAGTCACTAAAACGCAAGGGGATTCTGGGAGTGAAAGGTAAAGAGAAGACACTAGAAGGAACCGGAAAACCATTCCTCAACAGGAAATAAGGAATAAACTTCTACTCTTTTAAAAGATTCGGGAGAAGTGAACCGGATGATAAGCGAAGATATTCACTTCTATTGAGAAAAAAATTAAATAAATAAATTAATAAATAAATAGTAAATAAAATTTCGGACTATAGACGGAGACATTAGAAGTATAGAGTTGAAGTAGACATTAAATGGGACCGGAAACTCAATCCTAAACAGGAAACAAGGGATAAAAAATCTACTTCTGTTCAAACGTATTTATGTGTATGCCGCATAACTGACTGAAGAACCGTTATTGTTGTAAACACGATTCTAATTGGTTAAAGAACTAGCATGGCCTTGTGTCAGACTAAGATAAATTCACTGTATAGCAAAGGGTGATATGGTGTCGAGAAAATGTTAGCAAGTATTGATGGTATCCTGGCATTACAATGTAGAATTTTCTCTTTTTCGGTGTCATATTCGTTTCAGATTATTATTATTATTATTATTATTGTTATTATTAATAATCCTATTAATATTATCTTTATTGTTGTTTATTGTTGTTGTTGTGATTTTCTTTGTCTTCCTTTGAAGGATGATTAGAATTGCTATTATTAGTTGTAGCAGCATTAGTAGTCGGTGCAGCTACGTATATTGTTGTCAAGGTTGTCTGGCCAAATGGAAGTATGGGCGGACAAGATGACTGATCGCCCCGAAACAGATTAGGAACAGACTTGCATTGTTCGGCGACTGATACCAGAAGAAGAAGGGACAAACAATTTGCCTTGCAGAAATGGAATTGAGAGAAGACACTTGGGAAGAGTAGGAAGGATACAGAATGCTCACGACGGAAAGGTTAAAGGTAAAGAAAAGAGAAGAGGAGATAGGAGGAGGAGGAGGAGGAGGAGGAGGAGGAGGAAAAACGAAATAGTGGTTTGTGTAAGTAAAAATAGACGCATTTGATAGAGTACGCAAAGAGAGGGGTATTTTAAAGGAACTGAATTCTTTGAGGGTTGTGATGAGAAAAAAAAATTGAAAACGAAAGACAACGTAAAGAAAATGGCGATGAAAATGAGTTAGACAGAAAAGGAAAAGCAGAAAGAAAAAAAATAACCTTAATGAAAGTGGAAAGAAAAAGAAAGAAAAAACAGAAAGAAAACAAAAGAAAGAGAAAAGAAAGAGAAAAGAAAGAAAGCAGGTAAATGATTCATTGATTAAGTCGGTTTTACGGCTTATCAATCTTTTTCAGATTCTTCCTCTGCCTGTTTAATTCCTGTTCTTTTATTCTTTTTTTTCCTTAATAATGTTTTCTTTTCTCAAATTCTTTCACACTCAGGAGCCTCTTGCGTCTTAGTAACATTATTGCCTTGCTTAGATTAAAATTCCCCCTCCCGCAAAAAAAAGGCTTACTAATTAACCAATAGCTTTTGGGAGAACAGATAGATTCACACCATTCACAAGAGTATTTGCGCGTAAGTCAAGATAATGGCCTCAAGTGGAATTGGAACACAACCAATTCAGAGCTGGTATCCATTAAACAACCTGCACATGCAAGCTCACTCATCTAAGTACTGACTAGTCTCGACATTGCTTAACATCGATGGTTTTATGTGAACCGCCGTAGATGAAAGAGATATCTGAGTAGGAATATGAAAATAAACGTAAGCAAAACCACAAAAGAAAAAAACAAAGACTGTTTCTTTTTATGTTTTTTTTTTTTAAGGAGTCAGGATGATCGAGTCAATACGAACGAACCTTTCCTTAGCTGTACTGTATTTGCTTCGCCTGGGTTTTTTGAATTCAGCGTTTTCCTTCACCGTGACAGGTTGCCACCCAAGGCTACAGGACCCAGTACTACTATTTACACATAGCTTGGCGGGGGGGGGAGGGTAGAGAAGAGTTGGATTCATACCTTTCCCAAGGGTATTAGCACGTGTTTTAAACAGTGCAAATTTACGTTAACCGGTCTGTGCATTCTAGATTTTTTTATATAGAAAATGTGCTTTTTGGTATGGTTCTAACCTCTTACAGGCACATTTGTCAAGACACACGAATACACAGGGCAGTAGACTTAAATTTACACTGTTTAAAAGTAGGGATATCTATTCCAACATGTGCATACGTTCAATATAACGTTTAAATACAAAAAAAATATATAAGATTATAAATGAAATCCATAAGTTACTTATATAACAAAAAAAGGAAGAATTTATTTCGTCAAAAAGTTCAAATAATTTGCATATAGGTGGTGGGGGGAAGAGGGGGAATCGTACCCTTCCTTTGCGTAGTTGCTCGTAAGTGAATATAACAAATCCAACAGAAATTGGAACACAGCCCATAAATTTCCAATTCAGAGACGTTTTCTTTTACACTACACGCATATGTAAGCTCATCCATCTTAGTTACTGACCATGTTCGTCGTTGCTTAACTTTTGCTCGACCGGCGCAAATCTTAAAGACACAGCATCCAAGGGAAGCAGCGTTAGTAACCTATTTAACGAGTGTTATCTTGTGACTACATAACTTCAGAACGCAGAAGAACGTTACAATCAAAGTTACTTAGTGAAAAAAAAGACAAGATATTGTTGCAAGTTAAGATTTCCGATGTACTGAATGGACATGGCGTAGACAAGATGGCTAACCCTGTTAAAAAGTGTCTCATACTTTTCTGCAATTATAGATTTGGGAAAATGAACGCTTGGTCGAATTCGATGTCCATGCAACGCGGAATCTTGCATTTTCAAATGATAAATTGAAATACGGTGTACGTGGTTTTTTTTTATCGTCCAAGGACAATGTTGACAGCATCCTTGTGGCGAGGGTAATTCCACAACCTACGAAAAGGGAACCCAACTGTTTGGTGTAATAATGTTAAGTTTTTGGCTCTCGTATAAAACAGAACTTCGTTTACCTTATTGAATCTCGGTTCAAATAGCATAATAATCTACCTTTTCCACTCTCGGTTGAAAAAAATTTAGACTTTCCATGAGATACATCTGTTTTCTAAAACCATATATATTATCTATGTATTTCGGTTCAAAAACGGACTTATGTCTGTTTTTATTCATTAAACATATATCCTATATATATATATATATATATATGTATTTTCTTTCCAAAACGGACTTATGTCTGTTTTAACTCTCATTCATATATATATATATATATATATATATAAAATATATATATATATATATGTATTTTATATATGTTTCCTCATCCAAAACGGACTTATGCCTGTTTTAACTCTCATTAAAACCGGATATAGGTTTACATATTTTGACTCTTCTTCAAAACAGACTTATATCTTAACCCTAATTAAAACCGGATATAGGTCTACCTATTTTGACTTTCTTCCAAAACGGACATATGTCTGTTTTAACTCTCGTCAAAACCGTATATATGCGTACGTATTTTGACTCAAAACGGACTTTCGCATGTTTTAACTTTCGTTAAAACCGGATATCGGTCTACCTATTTTGACTCTTCTCCAAAACGGACATGTCTATTTTAAGTCTAAGTAAAAAAAGGATTTACGTCTACCTATTTTGACTCATCTCCAAAATGAACTTACGTCTGTCTTAACTTTCCTTAAAACCAGATATAGGCTTACCTATTTTGACTCACCTCCAAAACGCTTTTATGTCTGTTTTTACTCTCCTTAAAACCGGATATAGGCTTACCTATTTTGAGTCTCATGCAAACCTTACCTGTGTTAGTCGGTTTTATTTTCAGCCAAAACTGAACTAGACGTACCGGTCTATTATTTACTCAAACAGCAGGATTGAACATTACATAATCTGGAAAATGCTGATTGTAGTACAACAAAGCAAACAGAAGCAAATAAAGCACAACAACAAATTAGCATACAGAAGTTCTTAATATGTTTGGATAAATGACAAATAGGACATTAGCGATCATGGCCCTCCACATCTTCATGTCCTTTGTAGCTCTTAATAAGTTTTGTCCTTTTGTTATATCTCCGAAACCCTCTTCTTCCATCTATTTACTCAAGCCCATCAAGTATGCTATTCGCTGCTTTCCTCTGTCCCTAATTCTTTCAATCCCTCCGTTAATAGACAGAGGGAAAGAGATTCAGATTTTTCAAGCTGTCCTTCCTTATTACTTGCCCAGGAAATCTCAACTGCCTCCTTCTTGTTTTAAGTAAAAGATTCTTTTTTTTTTTTATCTCTGAAACATCGCTGTTGCTCTCATGTTCGGTTCTTGATATACTTAGCATCTTTCTGTAGAACAACATTTCAGCAACTTCAAGTCTCTTCCTCATCTTTGAGGAGAGTGTCCAGTATTCACTGCCATACAGGAGGGCAGATATCACATAACAATCCAATACTATTTTCGTTGTTTCCAACGAAATCATTCTGTTTCTTAATACACTGTAAGAGTCTGTAACATTAGCTATATAATCATTTATATCAGTACGCCACGTTCTTGATACAGTTATTGAAATTTCTTATTTAATGTGCCGTGCCCCTTTAGAATGTATACGATCATGGCCATCCACCGCTTCCTGTCCCTTGTAGCGCTTAATAAGTGTTGTCTTTTTGCTACTTCTCCCAGACCCTGTTCTGCCATCCACTTGTTCAAGTATGTCACGCGTTACTTCCACTGTCCCTCTTTCTCTCTATACGTCCTGTGAGTATCAGATTTTCCAAGCCTCTCTTCCTCATTACGTGTCCCAGAAATTTCAGCTACCTCTTCTTGATGTTAAGTATAAGTTTCCTATTTATTTCCATTCTCTTCAAAACCTCACCATTTCCCACATGTTCGGTCCATGTTATCCTTAGCATCCTTCTGTAGAATCACATATTTGTCGCCTCGAGTCTCATCTTTGAGAAGAAAGTCCAGCATTCGCTGACATACAGGGGGATAGATATCACGTAACAAATCTTTGTCTGTAACGAAAATTTTCTGTTTCCTAATCCTCTGCTTAGCTTTTGGAATGCATCTTTGGCTATCCTAATACATCACCGGATCTCACTGTCACACTTTCCGTCCTCTGTCAGAACACTTCCCAGATATTTAAATTTCTGGACCTGCTTGCTTTTAGTATTCCCGACCTATAATTTGCATTTTGAGCTCATCCTTATCCATGCATTCTGTTTTTCTCAAGATTTATTCATTCCCTAAAAGGACCCTGGGAAAACTAGAAGTGCTATCTGGTCTCATCATTGTTGTTGCCAGCAATTTTAGAAATATGAGATATGCATATAACACAATGTTGTTAGAAGATGCAAAATGGAAAATGCAGGGAGTCCTTCAGAAAAGAGTAAAGGAAAGTGGGAAAAAATGACAATTATAAGAAAATAGAATGTATATTTGCGAGCAAAAAGAACGTCCAAAGATGCGAAAAAAGAATTGCAGTAGTCAAAATCAGGCAAATAGAAAAATTGAAATATTTATATAATTGTCAAAACGGGGAACCGTATATATTGACACCGAAATCCAAATGTACATTGGTATAGAGAAAAACCCTTGTAAAAAGCTAAGCGAAGAATTTTGTTCGAATCAATGGTTGCAATGCTATGTCATATCAGTCTTGACAAT